AGTGGAGCCGCATAAACCCTCACAAAACCCTAAACCCTAAACCCTAAACCCTAAACCCTAATCAACACAGCAACCCGTCTTGGGGCTGCTCACCGTGCTGGGGGGTCGATGGGTAGCCGTAAACCCTAAACCCTAAACCCCAAACCCTAAACCCTAAACCCTAAACCCTAGATTCCAGAGTTTAAACTTTCTATATTAAACCAATTGAGGCATTTATGCTCGATAAGCCTCTAACCCTAAACCCTAAACCCTAAACCCTAAACCCTAAACCCTCGTGGGGGGAGAAGGCGGTTCGCGTGGCTGGCCGTCGGCGGCCCCCTCAAGGCAATGAGTATAAATAAAATTATTTATTTTGTTTTATTAAATAAAAAATAAATAAAAATAAATAAATAAATAAATATTTTAATTCTTAGTTGTTTTCTCCTGAGACAGTCAAGGGCTTCGTCTGAACACTGCACGCTAGGGTTTAGGGTTTAGGGTTTAGGGTTTAGGGTTTAGGGTTTCGTAGGTCTGCCTAACTGCCCCTCGTTAGTACTATTAGCCGTTCTTACAAATATTTAGGGAATTAGGGTTTAATATTTTTTGTCTAGGGTTTAGGGTTTAGGGTTTAGGGTTTAGAGTTTAGGGTTTAGGGTATAGAGCTCAGGGTTTAGGGCCTAGCCCCGGACTAGGGTTTAGGGTTTCAGCCGGCTTAGGGTTTAGGGTTTAGGGTTGGAATTCGTTCGTTCCTGTCTCTGCCTTTTGCTGTTCAGGCTTTAGGGTTTAGGGTTAAGGGTTTAGGGTTTAGACGAATCCATTCTGGAGGAATTAGCATCTGGGGGGGTTTGGGGTTTTCTAGGGTTTAGTGTTTAGGGTTTAGGGTTTAGGGTTTAGGGTTTACTGGCGCGCACGAGGCCAAAGCCTCGAAAGAGGGTTTAGGGTTTAGGGTTTAGGGTTTATGCAGAGTCAAGGTTAGGGTTTAGGGTTTATGGGGGGCTCCTACAATAGACGGTTTACGCTGATGAGGGTTTATCTAGGAAAAAGGGTTTAGGGTTTAGGGTGAGGGTTTAGGGTTTACGGATTAGGGTTTAGGGTTTAGGGTTTATGCAGAAGTGAGGGTTTAGGGTTTGAGGGTTTTCTACTTGGCTCGACGTGAAACCCTAATTTCTAAACCCTAAACCCTAAACCCTAAACCCTCTCCTTTAGGATTTAACCTTTAAACCCTAAACCCTAAACCCTAAACCCTAAACCCTAAACCCTAGAGCTTTTAAAGAGACCCCGCGTCTCTATAAAACCTCTTCAGCTGCAGCAGTAGAGAGTTTGGTATTTGCGCTAAGATCTAGGGTTTAGGGTTTACTGAGGGTTTAGGGTTTAGGGTTTAGGGTTTTGGGGTTTAGGGTTTACAGTTACAGTGTAAGGTTAGTTCTCTTATATGCATTCGATAGTGTTCTGCTGCGCTCGTATATAAACCCTAAACCCTAAACCCTAAACCCTAATAAAGAAGCAGCACGTGAGGCTGCTGGGTTTATATTTTGCTTCGGTCGAGCCAGAGAGGCGTAAACCCTAAACCCCAAACCCTAAACCCTAAACCCTAAACCCTAAACGCTAAACCCTAAACACTAAACCTCGTTATTCGAGATCCCCTTGGAGTGTAGGGCTTATCATTTAGGGTTTAGGGTTTAGGGTTTAGGGTTTAGGGTTTAGGGTGTCTTTGCCCGCACAGTACTAAAACCCTCAACCACAGAGAACGCAGATCTCAGGTGCCGCCGACCCTAAACCCTAAACCCTAAACCCTAAACCCTAAACCCTAAGCCCTAAACCCTAGGAAGAAATCGTGAGGAGCAATCGCCTACATAACAAACCTGAGTAAAAGCCTCTAAACCCTAAACCCTAAACCCTAAACCACAAACCCCAAACCCTAAAAGAAACCCTCAACCCTAATGAACACACTCTAAACTATAAACACTCAAAACCCTAAACCCTGAACACCAACACCTAGCCACGGCCATCACGCTCCTAAACCCTAAACCCTAAACCCTAATCGACAGAGACAGAGACTGAAGGGGGCCGAGGCTCACCTAAACCCTAAACCCTAAACCCTAAACCCTCGATCCACCCACCGTAGTGGGTTTGCCGCTTCTTGCTTGTGCCTTCCTGGCTATTAAATTATAATTTAATATTAAATAAAATAAAATATTAAATTAAATTAAATTAAATTAAATATTTAATTAATTATTTTTGCTGATGTTTGTTTCGGGGTGGTGAGGCACCGCCGACGGCCGCTCGATCGCGAGCACGGGGTGTACGTACACCTCAGCTTTTGTGTGTGTTTCTTTATTTTTAATTTATTTATAAATTTAAATTTTATTTTAAATTAAAAACAATAAATTATTTTATTTATTTAAACCCCAAAATGCCACCTCTAAACCCTAACCCTAAACCCTAAACCCTAAACCCTAAACCCTCGACCCGGGGCTGCGGCCGACCGTGCAAGGTTGAGAAGGCTAGGGTTTAGGGTTTGTTGTTTACGCAACCCTAGGGTTTAGGGTTTAGGGTTTAGGGTTTAGGGTTTAGGGTTTACACTCAATAACAACAAAATGCAAACCCCACCTACAGAGCCACCGGCTCTGGGGGTGGTGGGGTCGATCGATCCCGGGAGGGGCTTCGAGGTGACCCTAACAAAACAAGCAGCAGCAGCAGCAGCAGCAGCAGCAGGAGCAGCAGCAGCAGCAGCAGTAGGAGCAGCAGGCTGCAGCGGCCTGCAAGCTATGCAGCAGCAGCAGCAGCAGCTGCTGCTGCTGCAGCAGCAGCAGCAGCAACCAAATCGAGACATTAAGACCCCAGCTAGCGAACCCACCACACCTAGGAGGCAGCAGCTGTTTGCTGCTGCTGCTGCAGCAGAGACACAGCAGCAGCAGCAGCAGCAGCAGCAGCAGCAGCAGGAGCAGCAGCAGCAGGAGCATCAGCGAGTTCTCCCCGAGTACTATCAGAAGCAGCTGATGCAAAATGCGCAGCAGCGGCAGCAGCAGCAGCTGCTGCTGCTGCAGCAGCAGCAGCAGCAGCAGCAGCAGCAACCATATAAAAAAAAAGCTAGGCTCCCCTTCGTAGCTCACCGCAGCAGCTGCGGCGGCCGCATGCTCCTGGATATCTCATCTCCGCCTCTACCCCCGAGTAAACCCTAAACCCTAAACCCTAAACCCTAAACCCTAGACCCTAAACCCTAAACCCTAAACCCTAAACCCTAAACCCTAAACCCTAATGTTAGGTTTTTCAGAAAGGCTGGGGGGAGAAGGTGTATACATAAGCATGCAGCAGCGAACGACAACGCGGAGCAGCAGCAGCTATCCAGCAGCAGCAGCAGCAACAACAGCAGCAGCAGCAGCAAAAACAACAGCAGCAGCAGCAGCAGCAGCAGCAGCAGCAGCAGCAGCAGAGGAACTGCCGCAAAGTCTACGTGAAGCCAAACGCCGCGTAGATGAGCTCAACACCCAGCTGCTGCATCTCGCCTATCAACACAAGGCAAACAAAACCCTAAACCCTAAACCCTAAACCCTAAACCCTAAACCCTAGATTGTGTGGTATAGCACATCGTTGGGGTGCTGTTGCGGCTGTACGCGGTGCTATCGTTTCTGTTGCTGTTGCTCCCACTGCTGCTGCTGCTGCTGCTGCTGCTGTTGCTGCTGCTGCTGTTGCTGCTGCTGCTGCTGCTGCTGCTGCTGCTGTTGCTGCTGCTGCTGCTGCTGCTGCTGCTGCTGCAGGTGGTTTCAGAGGCCCGATCAGTATACGAGGAAGCTTTGCTGCTGCAGCAGCAGCAGCTGCTGGCGATTGGCAGCGAAAAAGAAAAAGCGATGCTGCTGCTGAAGCAGCTCCTAGATGAATCTGCGTAAACCCTAAACCCTAAACCCTAAACCCTAAACCCTAAACCCTAAACCCTAACCCGTTCTTACAACTGTTACAGCTGCATCCTTCGCCTATCCGTTTGGCGGAGATGTTGTAATGGCAGCAACTCTGAGGACAAAATTCTAGGGTTTAGGGTTTAGGGTTTAGGGTTTAGGGTTTAGGGTTTAGGGTTTAGAGGTGTTCAGGGGTGTACACGACAAGCTGATTGCCTACGAAGTCATCTGCACGACGAAGCCAGGGGCTGCTGACCCTCGAGTACGCAAACCCTAAACCCTAAACCCTAAACCCTAAACCCTAAACCCTAAACCCTAAACCCTAGACTCTATTTATATCATCGTGAGGGTTTATTGTGGTTTTTGTTGAACAGAACGAACTCTGCAACAGCAGCAACACCACCGACGACAGCAGCAGCAGCAGCGAAAACAGCAGCAGCAACAGCAACACCAGCAGCAGCAGCAGCAGCAGCAGCAGCAGCAGCAGCAGCAGCAGCAGCGGGATGCCTGAGGTTGAAGTTGTTGCTGTGAAGGTTTTGGAGGTTTCCTTAACCCCCCACACGCAGCGCCGAAGGCTGGCGAAGATAGCAGCAACAAAAATACAGGCAAACCCTAAACCCTAAACCCTAAACCCTAAACCCTAAACCCTAAACCCTAAACCCTAAACCCTTATTTATGTTGTTCAGCACCGTTGTTTTAATGTGCGCCTTGTGGTTCTAGGGTTTACTGAGGGTTTTCAGATAGAGATAGAGGGTTTAGGGTTTAGGGTTTAGGGTTTAGGGTTTAGGGTTTGTATGCAGGCAAGATGGAGGGGGTATTCAACTCGCTGCGCGTTGAGAAGAGAGCAGCAGTTTGCTGCTGCTGCTGCTGCTGTCGTCAGCAGCTTTGCTGCTGCAGCAACAGACCTGCAGCGGAAGATCAGAGGCTTGCTGCAGAGACGGTACCCTCTAAACCCTAAACCCTAAACCCTAAACCCTAAACCCTAAACCCTAGATCCTGGGTTTTATACTCTCACCAATAAACCCTCCAGTCGTCAAGGAGACGAAGAAACGAAGTAGCAACTGACAGGCAAACCCTCAACCCTAAACCCTAAACCCTAAACCCTAAACCCTAAACCCTAAACCCTAAACCCTAGCTGGGTGTTTTATGTCAGAGAGTTCCTGGAGCATATCCGTTCGAAGGTGCTGCTGCCACCGAAGAGAGCAGCAGCAGCAGCAGCAGCAGCAGCAGCAGCAGGAACAGCAGCAGGCTCATCTACTGCAGCAGCAACAGCAGCAGAAGCAGCAGCAACAGCAACATCAAGGGGAACACAAACCCCTGAATTTAGCCCTAAACACCAGCAGCAGCAGCAGCAGCAGCAGCAGCAACAGCAGCAGCAGCAGCAGCAGCAAAGCGGCCCCGTACGCCTGGTGCTGTCTCCAGAGGACCCCACAGAGCCAAGTCTGCGCAGCTACCAGCAGCAGCAGCAGCAGCAGCAGCAGCAGCAGCAGCAGCAGGAGCAGCAGCTGGGTGTTTCAGTGTTTTGTTGTGAAGGCTGCGGCCAGAAGAAGTTTTCTGCTGCAGCAGCAGCAGCAGCAGCAGAGCTGCTGCCGCTCCCCGGCGTCTCCTTCAGCAGGCTAACTGCTGCTGTTTTGTTTATACAAAAAGAAATACGAGCAGCACTCATCAGGAGGAAGTGGAAAGTAAACCCTAAACCCTAAACCCTAAACCCTAAACCCTAAACCCTAAACCCTAAACCCTAAACCCTAAACCCTAAACCCTAGATCATGAATTTTAGGGGTTAGAGAAGGTGAAAGACAAACCCTACATTCTAAACCCTAAACCCTAACTAATCAGCTCAACTCTAAACCCTAAACCCTAAACCCTAAACCCTAAACCCTTTTGTGGTGTATTCAGTTGGTGCTAGTGGAGCTGCAGCGGCGGGCCCGGGTGCAGAGGCTGCTGCAGCAGACGGCGTTGCTGCTGCAGCAGTGGCAGCAGCAGCGGCTGCTGAACAGCAGAGACGAGCAGCAGATGCTTGCTGCTGCAGCGCAGCAGCTTGCTGCTATCAAACGCATCAGGCAAACCCTAAACCCTAAACCCTAAACCCTAAACCCTAAACCCTAAACCCTAGAAGGCAAACCCTGTGGAAAACCCTTCCTCCTTCGCCCAGACCCTAAACCCTAAACCCTAAACCCTAAACCCTAAACCCTGATTTTATAAAAACAAACTACCGCCTGCTGTTGCTGTCCTCTCTCATCACCACATGGATGCATATTTAGGGTTTAGGGTTTAGGGTTTAGGGTTTAGGGTTTGTGGTGGTTTAGGAGCACCTCATCATCCCCTCGTTCTCTGCGAGAAGCAGCAGCAGCAGAAAGACAGCTGCAGCGGCGCAGCAGGCGGTTGCTGCTGCAGCTGCCTTTCCCTTACCGTAGCCACTCCTTCAGCAGCACAGACGTAACAGAGAAGCAGCAGCAGCAGCTGCAGCAGCAGCAGCAGCAAAAGATATACGAAAAAAAACAAATCGCTAAGGCGCAACAACTTATATGGGTCGGGTACGAATAACACCTCTTCTGCTGCTGCTGCTGCTGCTGCTGCTGCTGCTGCTGCTGCTGCTGTTGTTGTTGTTGTTGCTGCTGCTGTTGTTGTTGCTGCTGCTGATATTCTTGCTGCTGCTGCTGTCGGCGTTGTTGCTGCTGCTGTTGCTGTTGCTGCTGGCGGGGATACCTCTAAAAACGCGGCGCAATACAAACTGCTGCTTCTGCTTCTGCTGCTGCTGCTGCTCCTTCTTCCTCTGTTGCTGCTGCTGCTGCTGCTGGTGCCGCTGCTGCTGCTGCTGCTGCTGCTGCTGCTGCTTAGTTCTAGGAGCAGCGGCAGCAGCAGTGCTGCTGACGGTCTTCGGGCGTCTCGCCATATCCCGCCGCTGCTGCCTGCTGCTGCAGCATCAGCAGCAGCAGCAGCAGCAGCAGATGCTTCTCCTGCTGCTGCAGAGGCTGATGGGTTCCGCAGCAGCAGCAGAAGCACAGGAGGCTACCTGCAGCCTGTACCTGCATCATCACCATCAGCAGCAGCAGCAGCAGCAGCTGCTGCTGCTGCTGCTGCTGGACCCTCGGAGCTCCCCAGTGCTGGTGCTGCCTTCTTGCGGTGTCTAGCGAGAGAAGCAGCAGAATGTTTGTGCTGCTCCTCATCAGCAGCAGCAGCAGCAGCAGCAGCAGCAAGTGCTGGTGGTGGCGGTGGTGGTGGTGGTGCTTCTGGCTCTGCTGCTGCTGCTGCTGCTGGTGGTGGTGCTGCTGCTGCTGGTGGTGGAGGTGTATTTGACGTTGCAGCAGCAGAAGCAGCAATTGCAGCAGCAGAAGCAGCAGCACTAACGTCTGCTGTGGATCGTCGTGTTGCTGCTGCAGTGCAGCAGCAAGCAGCAGCAATAGATGCATATGCAGCAGCAGCACAGAGCGAGCAGCAGCTGCTGCTGCTGGAGAAACGTTTATATAAGAGAGGCACCATGGCGCGGCTGCGGCCGACTGTGCGGTTTGCCGACAGAAACAAAATAAAAACTTTTTTGGGGGATGATGCTGCTGCTGCTGCTGCTGCTGCTGCTCCCCTTAGAAACCCTGCTGCTGCTGCTGCTGCTGCTGCGGCAGCAGCAGCAGCA